GAGAGAGAGAGAGAGAGAGAGAGAGAGAGAGAGAGTACTAAGTAGGACTATATTTAATTGCTACTTTAAAATTAGGTTTAAAATTTATAAAATTTTTCATTACTTTTTTTCTTTGACAATTTGTTGCACCAAATTGTGGGCACATTTCTTGGGATACGAATCGAACGCATCGTATTGTTCGGGTGTACTGTTCATCGTAATATTCAATTGATATTGATGCTTTTTATAAGTATTTTCCACCAATTTATAATGTTGTTAACTATAATTTATGCACAATTATACTATCTATTAATGTAATAATACACTAGTTGTAAATTATGCCGAGACATTGTTGATTTAAACCTTTACAAACTTTTTGGGAAAAGTTCTTTATAAAATTGCACCTTGGTAGTGCATGCTCATACGGGGAGGCAGGTGTTTAAGGTAACTAAACTCGCGACTTTGTCTAGCCAGATAATAAATAATAAAGTTTTTAAAATAAATATTTGTGTGTTTTGATATATACAATGTAAATTTTTATTCATGTAATGATGATGTGCAATATGTGCAATGAAAAATAAATAATTATTATCATGAATTCTGTTTGAACTCAATATAAGCGAAATCTAATTTCGAAACTTTAAATAATATTTAAAAAATTTGATATTTTTGTCAACATATTTGTAAAACACACAAAAACACAAATAATACACACAAATACATGATTTTATTAACCCGTAAAATTGCCATAATTATAGACCCGTATTTTCAATTATGATAAATCTAATATAATTAAGTATTAAAATAATTGTTTATTATAATTAAACTAAAATATTATAAACATGTTAGTATTAGCCATAGAGTGTTTACCATAAATCATAGTTAGTTCATCGTAATCATACGTAGTAAATTATAGTTAATATTAGCTATAAATTATAGACTATTTGCGATCAAAAATTTTTCTTTAATTTTTAATTTACTCAATTATTAAAGGTAAAAATTAATTTTCAGATAAATCACAAATATATGTAGCTTTTTTAATTTGAATAAAAATATTTCGTATAAAATTCTACACAGATTTCACCATTCAATTCAATAAATATGCCATAAAATGCGAAAATAATTTACTGCTAAATTGATTAAATTTAAAGTAATCTAAACACAAATAAAATCAATTCAATTCACAAAACGATTCCAATGTAAACAAAACAACACACACTTCATCCATAAATTACGTCACCTTTGAAGATATTTGCTAATTCTACGACATTTAATTTATTTTAATATGAAATTTTGTAAAAAGTTATAATTTTGTTAATAACTTTTTAAATAGTTAGAATATTTACAAATAATTTTATGGGACAACTTCTGGGGAGTTTTTGTTTATCTTAGTGAAAACAGAATCAAAATTGAATGATCCAGTCAAAAGTTATTCACGTTGAAACAGCTGTCGATAGTTCTTTTAATTTTCTGTATATAAATAAAGATATTGTGTCTAAAATATGAATTATCGGTTGATGTGAAACGTATGGCAATTATCATGTGTTTTTTGTTCGTCTCTAACAACCAAACACTTTATTCATTAAACATGTTATTGTAGTCATAAAAATACACGTATATAATTGAGTATTTAATATCAATTAGTTTGGTGCAAAATAATAAATTTTAATTATAAACAACGAGTTAATGAAATTTAATAATTATAATTTACTAAAATTTACAGAATTTTAATATTTTTACTGTTTGTAATTAATAAATAATTACAATATTTTTATAATAAATTTTAATTAATATTTGATATTTAAGTTGTTAAATAAGTTAGAAATTTGTGCCAAAATTCCAACAAATTTATGTCAAGCAATCAAATTAATGTTTTCAATGATTCCTGTTATGAGGAAAACATATTATTTGTGACAACTGATGATCGGGTCTAACGTATGGGTTGAGCAGTAATGAGATAAGACATAAGAAAGACGCCATTATTATTACGAAATGTTTATAATATAAATGAATTCATTATCTTATCAAATGATAACAAAGTATACAAATATTATGACTATTAGTACTTTATTTTGATGATCAACTTATTGTTTAATGATTTTGCTCTCGTGAATTGTGTTTGAATAGGGATAAATGTTATATACAGTATTAAGTTATAATTAAAACATTTAATAATAATGTCTGAAATTTTAAATAAGTTTGAAATCTGTGCCAAAATTCCTAACGATGTAAGACAAGAAATTAAATTATTTCACATTTTTCGTGGTGACTGCGATATTGATAAAAGAAACATATTGTTTGTGACAACTGATGATCGGGTCTATGGGTTGGGCAGTAATAGTGAGGGAGAGTTAGGTTTGGGACACAACCGACCCATTGATACTCCCGAAGAAGTACGGGAATTAAGTCATAGTAATATACAACAGTTTTTCAGTGACTTTTTATTTAGATTTTCTATAAATAGCGATCACAAGCTGTTTGGCTGGACTAGCACTTCGAGTAAACCCGAAGAAATACATTTATGTAATTCACGTGATATGCGAATTAAAAAAATAGCATGTATTATATTCACAGCTAGTGTTCTCACATCCGATGGACGGGTATTTGATTTATATAAAACTAGAACACAAAAATTGCATGTGGATGAAAAACAATATCCGATTGAATATAAAATTGTTGACATTATGTCCTCTAAGGGTACAACTTTTGGCATTACATCCAATGGACGAGTATTTATTTGGGAGCTTTACGATATACGGAGAAATGCAAAATTATTAGAAAATGTCTATAATATAAAAGTTGCATTTTATATAGGTGGTAGTGTTTCAATTATGTTATCATATGATAAACAAGTTTATATGTATGACAAGGATAGCAAAAACAGCAAACTAATCAGCTGTAATTTATTATTTAATGATCTTGTATATATACCGGATTATAAATTTGGTAAATTAGGTAAAGTCGTTGGAATCAGTAGTCAACAAATTTATGAGTATAACAACAATTTTATTGAAACAAAATATACAACATTTGATGAGTATTTCGCTAATGAATATCAAATGACTTATAAAACCATTGATATCAGCAAACATTTGGATTATGTCAATACACTTAAATCAATACAACAATATGGTAATAAATTGTACATTTTTAATAAAAAAAATTATCTAATATTATATATTATAGAAACTATTAAAGAATTAAATAACATAAAAACGTATGAAAAAGTGGAACCGTTAGGATCGGGTGGTTTTGGGGATGTGTTTAAAATAGAGGTTAAATATATAACATATGGAAATGCATTTGCAATTAAAAAATGTCAATTAAACGGTAATGTTTTGTTAAATTTTGTTTTCTCGTAATTATTTAACTAATTAAATGTTCTATATTAAGGTTTGACAGAAAACACTAAACAAAATGTTTTGAAGGAAACCGACAAATTGGTAAAATTGCGCTCAGAATATGTCATTAAATATTATAATTCATGGATTGAATACAATTGTTTGTATATTGTTATGAAGTGTTTGGCCGGAAATTTAACACATCTTTTAGAAAATAAGAAGCAAATATTTAGTAAAACAATGATTGATTTGGAATATTATATATCATATAAAATATTTAAACAATTGGTCGAAAGTGTGGAGTATTTGCATAACAATAATATCATTCACAGAGACCTCAAACCCGATAATGTGTTGATTGCCAATTATAATAGTGACAAAACTAATTATAGATATATAAAGTTATGTGACTTCGGTTTGTCTAAAGAAGTTAAAACATTAAGTGATCGATACAATCAAAGTAGTGCTAAACACACCGCAGATGTGGCGCTATATATGGCACCCGAAGGACAGACCACTGAATACAACCATTTAATAGATGTCTATAGTCTGGCACTCATTGGAGCGAAAATATTTGGTTTCCATTCCGACGATATCAGAGACGGAGAGTATGTTATTATTAATACATTTTATAATAATATAACGTATATTATATTTTAAAATTTATATTTTTAGACGGAATTTCAATTTTAAAAATATTTTAAATATAAATCTTGCAACAAAAATGTTTCAAATGTACACATTATTGTTATCAATGGGTGTTAGTATATATACAAATCCAAAGGCCGACAAACCGTGGAAACAAAGGCCCGAATGTGAAGTAATTTTAAGCAAATTAAGATTTTTCGATTGAACCGATTGTCGAAAATATAGATTTATTAGTAAATAATAATAATTTAAGTGAAAACAAATTTAAATTATTTTATCATTATTATTTCAATTTCCACATTTGGGTTATTTGCCAAACAAGTGATAAAGATAATGGTAAATGATTATAATTGTTACATTTATATTGTTTTAAAATTAATCTGAAATTGTTATAGAAATGGTGACACGTGCTCAATTTTATGAAATAAAAAAATATGATAAATTAATAAAAGTAAAGCATAAAAAATACAAAAACCACTATTATATAATGAATGATAAAAAACCAAGTAAGTGGTTCATTATTGAATTATATATATTAATTATTATAACATTTTTAAATATTACGGTATTACCCCGCATACTATAGCATGCAAATATATCTCGATTGTAACAGAAGGGGATCATTTGCTCACTTTGGTTTGAATTGAAATTTACATTTACATTAAAGTAAAAGTCATAAAACCTATCATTAGAGTTTGATCGCTAAAATATGTGATACAAACAAGAATTAAAAACATTATTTTATTACCCGTTTTATTACACCTGGGTATTTCCTATTTTAATATTTTAGGAATATTTAGAATATAATATTTTATATAATTGATAAATGTTTTAAGGATAAAACAATTCAAATGATCAATATATCAATGTATAAATTAGATTTAAGTGAAGAGACTTGCATATTCACTTATACTTGCATGTAACTATTTGTGGGGTAATACGGTATCTATTTTATATATTCTATTATTTATAGTATACTGTCTAATAGTTAGGGAACCAGTCATGTTTTTCATGTATATTGTAGTATGATTCATTTGTGTATTTTCAACACAAATGCAACACTCATAATTGATAATATAGTGATAAATATCCCCTTTTTGCTTTAATATATATAAAATTGCAAGAAAGGTGCAACTTTCTGGTTTCGTTACTAATAGTGTACAATTGTCACACTATTTAAATATGTTATTTTATATAAATTATATAACCATAATTTTAATTTATTTAGTTAATTATAACTATTAAATATTGTTTTCCAGTTCATTTTAAACCAAGTAAACAATTTGTGGAAAATATTAGAAAAATATTTGAATCTAAATCTCAATATTTACTTCAAATATATAACTCTTGGATTGAAAACACTGTGATTTACATTCAATGGGAATATTGTCCGCAAACTCTATGGGATGTCATAAAAGCCAAAAATATGGTTTCAAAAAAGATATTCGGGACACAAACCCATCACTCGTTGGCAATCATTTCAATTGATTTCCTTATTTCACAGCAATTGTTGAGACAATTATTTCATTGTATTCAAGAATTGTCTGCTTTGGATATTAATACTTCTGACATATTACTTGATTCAAGCGATATATTTATTAGAAACGATTATATACGGGATGAAAATTATATGAAATTTTATTGCAATTTTTGTGACAATTTTGATCATGGTATAACTAAAACTAAATCTTGGGCAATTAATAAAATCGGAAAAATTGTGAAAAAATTGTTTGAAATACAAACAAAACATATTAGGTATTAATATATATTTACTATATTTGAAATAGTTTTATGATTATTACTGATTAATAATTTATAAATTTTAAAGCATTAATATAGATTACAAAACATATATTATGGATACATTTGGTGTAAATATGGATAAAATAGAAGTTTTTATTAATAGATTACTCGAGGATTCAAAAGAAACAGATATTTCTAATATAATGAATGAATTCTATAATATTTTTGGTAAAAATGTAAACGAAATAAACGCTAATATAATCTCACGGATGAAAAGTGCAATTCTGTGGCGAATCCCTATATTTAACGCAAATTCAATTATTTATAAATGCATTTATAATTATTTTAAAGAAATAGTTAAAAAGCAAAATATATTAACTCAGCCACATTGTGGATATTATCGGTGGGAATCACCATGGCCATATTCCAATCAAATTTACCTTAACGTTCAAAATCAACAAACATTATATACTAACGCATCAAAAAAGCTTAAAAAGGATGCTAACCCCAAGGGTCGGGTCATCATATTTGTTACGCTACCCGAGTTGGCCAATGAGGCCGAACGATTCAAATCAATTTTCACACAATTACTATTTAAATCAGATGTTTATTCTGGATTGACCTGTGACGAGATTAAAAATAAATTGACCGAGGTGGCCAATACAGACACATACAATGGCGACGCTTTTATTATGATGTTTATCGGCAACGGCTTTAATGAGCACATCATAGGCCGGACAGACACAAGTCAATGGCCACCAAATGAGTGCGATATTATGGCCTTCAGTGAAATAGTGGCCACATTTGCCTGGACTCGTGCGCCCGCTTTGCGTCATAAGACCAAGGTGTTTATTTTCAACTGCGGCCGTATAAGTATTAATCTCTTTAAAAAATCAATTATTTATTTTATGGTAATTTAAATCAAAACATTTATTTTTTTATTTATTTAGCAATTGAGCCCGAAGATGTTTTTCCCTTTGTACCAAATATTCATCCTAATTCTAAACATTTAATTGATGAATTTGTAAGTGAAATGGTGGCTGATTTTATGGGCCCTATAGAATCGTCACTTATTAATAAGTTGAAGATGCTCGATCCTAAGTTTGATTTCGACAATACACAGACTCACGTAATATATGCGTGTCGTGAGGGTATGACATTTTATTTACACTTAATTTATATGATTTTCAAATAAAATCTTTGTGATAATTCTATGACTCATAAGTTGTCCATAATTTTATTAACGTGATATTTATTTAAATCATTATTTAATAGTTAAAATTTTTATTTTATTTTAAAAATGAATTGTTTATAAATCAATTAAATCCATCAATGTTAAAATCAATTATTCTAATGTTGACATTAGCACAAATATAGCTACACTAAGACTAGAGACATCGTATTTAATTTAAGAAATATGTAATTCAAATGTCCAGGGTTCCGAATAAATCCTTACACGGATGTACCTGGTCCAATTGGAAGCGTTAGTCTATTCGGTCAAGCATTTAGCCATACAATAGCTCAATACTCGGCGTATAATAGCCTGACTGAGATGCTTGCTATGGTTTGTGTTGTTTTTATGGATTATATAAGTTATTATTATTTCATAAATTAATTTATATTTTAGACACTAAACCGAATGGAAACCGATTTAATGGATAAAGATTTTAAGCAAAGGCCAGAAATTGAAACGTTTAACGCAACCACTCTTGATCAATTTAGTCATTACAGGAGATGTGTATTTAGTGAAACGAGTAATAGCAAATATATAGATGACCAATTTGTTAACAGACGACCAATTGATTTATTAGAAATTAACAATAGTAAAGATCTATTCATATTTTTTATATCCAAATCAAAATATTCTGATGAAATTAAACCTTTATTAAAACAACCAAACGAAATGATAATAATAACTAAATTAAATAACAGTAATGAAACTAGCTTTCCTGAATTAGTAAAATTCCCATGGCAAAATAGTAAATACTTGAATAATTTTCAATCATATACTGACAAATTTATCACACTAAATGATGGTGAATATTTATCGAGTTTTCTATTATATGACACTTTATGTGCAATTTTAAACAAATATAATTCAACATGCGCATTTACTATATTGAGTTGTGAATGTTTAAAATATGTTTTTAATGAAGATATTAAGCCAATATACGAGTAAGTAAAATATCACTTTCTATAAAATAATTTAATGCTAATATATTTACATTAATAAATTATAATTTTAACTAAATTAAATGGCAATTTTAAACAGAGAAGTTTTGAGATCTAAATGTCTTAATAAGCAAATTATCATAATACCAATATTTGGGCAATTTGTATTTCACCCTATTGAACAACATTATCTGCTGGCAATAATTGATCTTTCGTCAAAACAAATCACATTGATGGATAGCATTTTAAAGTCAAGATGTATAAACGATTATAGATTTACATTTTATGCGTTATTGCAAATTATTCACATAATCTATAAGTCAAATAGATTAGATATCAACTTAGATGCTTTTAAGTTGGTCATAGCAACTGACGCATACCAACAAACGTTAGATTATAAATCAAACCATATTTCTTAAAATTATGCATGTTATTTAAAATGTTTTTATTAATTTGATAGCGATGGTTATACATGCGGTGATTCAGTTATATTAAACGTGGAATGTTTAATGATCGGTCAATATTTGCGTACTATAATCAATGTTCCGATAGTCAGAGCATATATAAAATCATTGGTCGATGAGAATGAGATCAAACATGATGACGATCGATCGGATTTGGAAATTATAGAGATACCTCATTTCGTTAAACTAAATTTTATAAAAATTGTCCAAGCAGATATTAATGATTATTTTTCAAATATTGCTCATACATTACTCATGCCATATCGACAGATCAATTGACTGCGAATTCATTCACAATTATTTTAAAGAAATATTTAAACATCAAAAACAGTAATGAATTGCTTTATTAAAATTACTGATAAACAAATTATAACTTTTATAATTTATACTTTATAATAGCTTAATACAATCAATTAATTCTGGTCGTGAGGCACAGGCAAAGAGACCATTCATAGAGAGCAACGGTATATCATTGCCAACATTTAATCTATTGTGTGGGAAGTGTTCTCAAGACAACAAATAATGTCTGGAAGTCTGCCAAAAGTAAAGCACTGATTTCGGAAGAAAAACCAAATTAAAAATATTAATTTTTTATTATTTACTAAGCAAATAATAACTAATCCTTTTCTTTTTTATGATTTCCTCACTATTAGTCTCTCTCTTTCTCTCTCATCTCGTTTCTATGGAAACATTACGACAGTACATGTATTATGACTGCCCTATTATTTTGAGCCAATTGTAACTTTTATTTTGCTGATAAATTTTCATTATAAATACTATAAATAATGTACTTTAAATATAATAATATTAATAACGTATATAATTTTATACAATAAAAACGCATATTGAATTGGGGTTAAATCATAAGTTAACGATATCACATGTTGTGCGTACATTAACATATGATCATGATAATTTTTATTACTGTACGCATAATTTTATGGTATCCGGCAAAAGAGGTTAAAAGTTTTAATATTGACATACAATAAGATTTACATGAATACATAATTCATTGGATGTAAACAATATAGTATTGTTTATTATTAAATTGTTATAACTTTTACAATATTTACAAATTGTATTTGATTTAAATATAAATATTTTGATTTATTATTATTTTCATACTTGTTATCTGTATGAAGATATCATGTTTATAAAATTATATACAATACTTAAATAAATATGTTATATGATTAAAATATTAAATTATGTGTAAATTTTCATTACACCTTAAACCCCGAGACACGTATAAAATTATTTTTCAATCTTAAAATTTTGATGTATATAACATGTTATTGTCCTTGTAACGGCTGGGAATTCTACATACAGGTTGTTGAATATGCTTGATTAGCATGACCTAGCTGAATTGTGCGTCGTGTTGTGCCAATCATTCTCACAAGTGTGAACATTAAAATCTGTTTCAGTGTGTGTTTGGTATGCGAGACAACTGCAAACTGAACAATAAGTTTTATGATAAGCACTAAAATATAACAACAAAAGCGATCAAAACATAAAAAATATGGTTAATAAACGCCTGAATGTGCTATTCGTGCCGATCTTAGGCGCGGGTCACGTGAATGGCTGTATAGGTGTGGCCGAGCGTATGATAGAGAGCGAACACCGGGCGGTGTTTCTGGTGGACACCGTATGGTCGGGCAAATTGATTGCTTATGGCATCGAAGAGGCACTGATGACACCCGAAACGGATAATCCGCCCATAAGTACTGTCGAATTGGCCCGATATATGATGGCTGTGGGCGTGATTGGGGGCGCGTCGGCTCACCAGAAGGCCCGACTCCGGGCAACTGTCGCCGACTGGTGGACAAAACACGCCCAATATGTGGACAGAGAGCTGCGGCGTCTGTTGCCCGCCATTCGGCCCAACGTTATCGTATTGAATCAGTTCGTGACACTGCCGGCGGCCGAGTTGTCGGACGTGCCTTCTGTCTGGTGCTGGAGTTGTGTCCCACTTGTCAAGATTGACGACGAGAGGGCACCGCCAGTACAATCAGGTTCGTTACAATCTCATTGACCATGTTGCAAAATCGTGGTCGTTAATTTAAATGACACCCCAATCCATAGGACTGTCCGCATCGGGAGACCAGACATTATGGCAAGAGTTTCGAGAATTGGTTCGAGACGTGACTCGAGAGAAGTGGCGGGCGTTTAACGAGTGGGCGGTCGGCCGGGGCTGCGAACCACTGCCCAAATACTGTTTCCATAGTCCCACGCGTTATCTTAATATTGTTGAGTAAATAGATTCGCGAGCGGTCACCAGATATTGTACCCGAAGTATCGGACAATAAACGCGCAGAGACTGCACGACAAAGGCTTTGGTCTACGACTGGACGCATACAAGTGCTCGGAGGAGGAGCTGTTGGCGGCGATCGAGACTCTGCTCAACGATAAGGCAATGACTGAACGCTTGGCCGAAGTCTCCCGAAAAATACAAACCGACAATAGTTTGGCAAAAGTTGTTCAAAATCCGCGCAAATATAATATATTGATTAGTTGTTTTGATTGTTTAATTTTATTATGTTTTAATTAAAAATCACATTCAGCCAATGATCAATCAAGAAACTGTTGGATAAATAAAATTCTTGTATAGTCAATAAATTTAATTTGTTATTTAACTCCCACATCGAGTATATGTTAGAAGAAATAATACTCTTATCGTGTGTTTAAATGTTAAATTTTAAATAATGTGACATACACACAAACAATCAATAATGTTCCGTAGGGGAAACGCCGATAACTTTTGATTGAGTAATTCAATTTTAATGATTTCAATTAGTAAAATGTTGCCTGATAATTCAGTAATCGATCCATATATAATATGCCATTGTACCTATCATAGTTCAGTTTCTAGGTGAATTATAAAAAAAGAAATAATTCCCATTAAAAATGAATAGCTTTTTTGTACAATTATTAACTTTTTCTAGCTATATTTTTTAGAATACTTAGAACCTAGATTAAATTTTTAAAGTTTAACTAATTGAAGATTTAGTCACACATGTGATAGATACTTTGACAATTTCACAATTTATTTTAAACTACCTGTATTTTGTGAAACAAAGGATTTCTATAACTCGAAAACTACTAGGTCAATTTTAAAATTCTATGTGTCAAAATGTTCAGAATGACAAATGAGTGGACACGTATTTCAGGATTTTTCTAAAAAAATATCTTGGTTAAAGAACAGATGTCTAAAGTGCATAAAATTCTACATTTCATTTGCTTGCCAATTAAAATTTATCTATTTATTTTTAACGTTCACTAGCTCAAATTGACAAGAATTACTAATAGAAAAAAAGCAATTTCTTAGATTCTCAATATTTTATAGTTTTGATAAATTTTTCATAAAAACAAAATTTGTATAATTGTTAAAATTGTTTATAATGAAATGCCATTGACATTAGCCTCTATTTGTACACATTTTCAATGGGAATTATTGCTATTCTTATAATTCACATAGAAACTTAACTATGATAGGTACAATGGCATATTATATATGGATCGATTACTGAATTATCAGGCAACATTTTACTAATTGAAATCATTAAAATTGAATTACTCAATCAAAAGTTATCGGCGTTTTCCCTACGGAACATTATTGATTGTTTGTGTGTATATTGAGGGCACATAAAAGGGAACTTTAGGTCCGTTTGGGTGCCAAATGGCTGCTAACTGGTCGTACGCGTGAGGGTTGAGCGCACGCGTGTCCGGACGTAACACTACGTCAAACATTATGTTTTTCATGAAAGCATACTTCGGGTCACTCTTATCATTGGTGTAATCCATGTCACCAAATAGTGTGGGACCAGCGAAGGCGGCTAAATTGAACAAGATAAAAACTATGTCACTTATACAGATTAATATTAATCGTAATTAATAGTAAACTTTTATTAATATTATAGAAAGCAATTAATAATAATGCAATCTCGATTAGTGTGCCCAAATCAAAATTTTAACTTCGAAGTACTAATCTCGACACATTTCTGGCCTCTCTAAGAAATATTTACGGTTCATGAAGTGTGCGCCAATCATGCTGGTTAAAACGCGAACTCCTAGATTGGTAATCTGTAATTTATTTGCCAAACAATTGCTGCTGCTCTGATTGTGTTTTCAACTTAACATAGTGAAATATTTGTTAATTTTTAACAACAATTTATATATGAATATTGTGTTTTATGTGATGGTTAGTCACTTTACAGAAGATAACTCACTTTTATATTGTATTGTCGTATCTGTTTGTCGGTCAGCATTGATATGATGTCAGGCTTTATGGCATAAATGGCGACAAATTTCCCGTTTTTGGCCAACAGTTTGCTCACGACATGCATTAGTCGACTCTTATCGGTGATCCAATGAATGACAAAATGAGATATAAGTAACGATACCTTAGACTCCAATGCCTTTAATACAGGACTCAATGAATCCCACGTTTCTCTTAAGTCTTGGACCAAATACTGGACGGAATCCATGGGTTTGTGGTTTTGTTCGGCAAATGCTATCATATGTGGCGAGACGTCGACCCCAACGATGCG